GTGTAGTGGTCAATGGTCACTCATGGGTGTAGTGGTCAATGGTCACTTATGGGTGTAGTGGGTCAATGGTCACTCATGGGTGTAGTGGTCAATGGTCACTCATGGGTGTAGTGGGTCAATGGTCACTCATGGGTGTAGTGGGTCAATGGTCACTCATGGGTGTAGTGGTCAATGGTCACTTATGGGTGTAGTGGGTCAATGGTCACTCATGGGTATAGTGGTCAATGGTCACTCATGGGTGTAGTGGTCAATGGTCACTCATGGGTGTAGTGGGTCAATGGTCACTCATGGGTGTAGTGGGTCAATGGTCACTCATGGGTGTAGTGGTCAATGGTCACTCATGGGTGTAGTGGGTCAATGGTCACTCATGGGTGTAGTGGTCAATGGTCACTCATGGGTGTAGTGGGTCAATGGTCACTCATGGGTGTAGTGGGTCAATGGTCACTCATGGGTGTAGTGGTCAATGGTCACTCATGGGTGTAGTGGGTCAATGGTCACTTATGGGTGTAGTGGTCAATGGTCACTCATGGGTGTAGTGGGTCAATGGATACATATTTATATACTGGAAAGTGAAAATATTTAACAGAGACAATATTGAATTAACCAAATAAACTTATGATATTTATCATAATAAACTGATGTTAGAATGCAAATTGCCAGCAGTAATAGTTTAATTAATAGTGACTAATAAAGCTTTTTGTAACTAAATATTGTTGCCGTCCTGAATCACAGTTAACAAGACAATATGAAAGTTAATTAAAAGATTTACGGTCAATATTTTCTTTAGAAATTGTTATTTGTGTTTCTATGTATTTTAACTGTGTTCCAGCTGTGGCAGTATGCTGCAATGCTGCGTTCAGGGCTAGAACACGGCATCACAGGTGCTGCAGTGCTGCGTTCAGGGCTAGAACACGGCATCACAGGTGCTGCAATGCTGCGTTCAGAGCCTGAACACGGCATCACAGGTGCTGCAATGCTGCGTTCAGAGCCAGAACACGGCATCACAGGTGCTGCAATGCTGCGTTCAGAGCCAGAACACGGCATCACAGGTGCTGCAATGCTGCGTTCAGAGCCAGAACACGGCATCACAGGTGCTGCAATGCTGCGTTCAGAGCCAGAACACGGCATCACAGGTGCTGCAATGCTGCGTTCAGGGCTAGAACACGGCATCACAGTTGCTGCAATGCTGCGTTCAGAGCCAGAACACGGCATCACAGGTGCTGCAATGCTGCGTTCAGAGCCAGAACACGGCATCACAGGTGCTGCAATGCTGCGTTCAGGGCTAGAACACGGCATCACAGGTGCTGCAATGCTGCGTTCAGAGCCAGAACACGGCATCACAGTGCTGCAATGCTGCGTTCAGGGCCAGAACACGGCATCACAGGTGCTGCAATGCTGCGTTCAGAGCCAGAACACGGCATCACAGGTGCTGCAATGCTGCGTTCAGGGCCAGAACACGGCATCACAGGTGCTGCAATGCTGCGTTCAGGAGTAGAACACGGCATCACAGTTGCTGCAATGCTGCGTTCAGGGCTAGAACACGGCATCACAGGTGCTGCAATGCTGCGTTCAGAGCCAGAACACGGCATCACAGTGCTGCAATGCTGCGTTCAGAGCCTGAACACGGCATCACAGGTGCTGCAATGCTGCGTTCAGAGCCAGAACACGGCATCACAGTGCTGCAATGCTGCGTTCAGAGCCACTGGTGCCCTGCGGTGGGACTAAGAGAAGGAGAGGTGCAGTAAACCTGAGCTTGTGGAGTGATCCCATGAGCCATGTCAGTAAGATAAGCGCACTGCTCTTTGCTCTCTTGCGTCAGAGAGCAGGAAGATATCAGAATATCTTCAGCCAGACACGATGCGTTATCTGACCCTTCGCGGCGTCTGCTGGCCGAGCACCACCCTGAAGTTTTCAGATATAATCAAGTGTATTCCGATATTTGCGTGAGGATTTTTATATATACGTTTTGGAAATATGATGGTTGATTTACTGAACACTTTACCTGTGACTATAGACGGGGGATTACTGGATTGTTTCATGGTCAGTTAGACAGACATATGAGTGAGTTTGGGTGGATATACATAGGAGGTGCATCCTGTGAGTCAATGTGTCTCATGCAATTTAACTCTTTCTTATCTTCGTATGTATAGAGTGATTGTTTAGATATGCTTAGCTTACTAGTCTGTCTCCACCACATCACTTCCTAGTGCATGTTTGTGTGTGTGTGTGTGTTTCTACTCACCTATTTGTGCTTGCAGGATCGAGCATTGACTCTTGGATCCCGCCTTTCCAGCTATCGGTTGTTTACAGCAATGACTCCTGTCCCATTTCCCTATCATACCTAGTTTTAAAAGTATGAATAGTATTTGCTTCCACAACCTGTTCCCCAAGTGCATTCCATTTTTCCACTACTCTCACGCTAAAAGAAAACTTCCTAACATCTCTGTGACTCATCTGAGTTTCCAGTTTCCACCCATGTCCCCTCGTTCTGTTATTATTACGTGTGAACATTTCATCTATTTCCACTTTGTCAATTCCCCTGAGTATTTTATATGTCCCTATCATATCTCCTCTCTCCCTTCTTTTCTCTATTGTTGTAAGGTTCAGTTCCTTCAGACGTTCTTCATATCCCATCCCTCGTAACTCTGGGACAAGCCTCGTCGCAAACCTCTGAACCTTCTCCAGTTTCCTTATGTGTTTCTTCAGGTGGGGGCTCCATGATGGCGCGGCATACTCTAAGACGGGTCTCACGTAGGCAGTGTAAAGCGCCCTAAAAGCCTCCTCATTTAGGTTTCTGAATGAAGTTCTAATTTTCGCCAGTGTAGAGTACGCTGCTGTCGTTATCCTATTTATATGTGCCTCAGGAGTTGCCTCAGGAGTTAGATTAGGTGTCACATCCACTCCGAGGTCTCTTTCTCGAATCGTTACAGGTAAGCTGTTTCCAGTAGGCAGTGTGTGTGTGTGTGTGTGTGTGTGTGTGTGTGTGTGTGTGTGTGTGTGTGTGTGTGTGTGTGTGTGTGTGTGTGTGTGTGTGTGTGTGTGTGTGTGTGTGTGTGTGTGTGTGTGTGTATGTGTGTGTGTGTGTGTGTGTGTGTGTGTGTGTGTGTGTGTGTGTGTGTGTGTGTGTGTGTATGTGTGTGTGTGTGTGTGTGTGTGTGTGTGTGTGTGTGTGTGTGTGTGTGTGTGTGTGTGTGTGTGTGTGTGTGTGTGTGTGTGTGTGTGTGTGTGAGGAGAGGGAACTACAATCCAGTGTCGATTTCATCATATATGATAGATATCTTTATTTGTATTCATCAGGGTATTAATGGAATGGAATATGCAGCCCGGTATTGTATCAGTCCGCCATTAATCTAGATAACACGATTTTCAATTAATTTCGTTTATTGCATTGGTGTATTGCATGTTGCGCTGCGAACTGGCGCCCGTATTGACCAAGTTTTGTGAGAGTGTCATTATTTTATGTTTATTGTGTTGACCATCCCTCCGTGGCCATCACACTCAACACATGAGTGAAGTGTTGACCCTCCCTGACCAACACACTCAACACATGAGTGAAGTGTTGACCCTCCCTGACCATCACACTCAACACATGAGTGTTGACCCTCCATGGCCATCACACTCAACACATGAGAGTGTTGACCCTCCCTGACCATCACACTCAACACATGAGTGTGTTGACCCTCCCTGACCATCACACTCAACACATGAGTGTTGACCCTCCCTGACCATCACACTCAACACATGAGTGTTGACCCTCCCTGACCATCACACTCAACACATGAGTGTTGACCCTCCCTGACCATCACACTCAACACATGAGTGTTGACCCTCCATGGCCATCACACTCAACACATGAGAGTGTTGACCCTCCCTGACCATCACACTCAACACATGAGAGTGTTGACCCTCCCTGACCATCACACTCAACACATGAGAGTGTTGACCCTCCCTGACCATCACACTCAACACATGAGTGTTGACCCTCCCTGACCATCACACTCAACACATGAGAGTGTTGACCCTCCCTGACCATCACACTCAACACATGAGAGTGTTGACCCTCCCTGACCATCACACTCAACACATGAGTGTTGACCCTCCCTGACCATCACACTCAACACATGAGAGTGTTGACCCTCCCTGACCATCACACTCAACACATGAGAGTGTTGACCCTCCCTGACCATCACATTCAACACATGAGTGTTGACCCTCCGTGGCCATCACACTCAACACATGAGTGTTGACCCTTCGTGGCCATCACACTCAACACATGAGTGTGTTGACCCTCCGTGGCCATCACACTCAACACATGAGAGTGTTGACCCTCCCTGACCATCACACTCAACACATGAGTGTGTTGACCCTCCGTGGCCATCACACTCAACACATGAGTGAAGTGTTGACCCTCCCTGACCAACACACTCAACACACCTGCTACAACAGACTTGTAAAAGAGTTGTTGTTGTATTATCAAGCCATAAAAGCATCGTGTTAGCACATATGTAACTCATTTCCAATTTTGAACTCACTCGATTCATTTGCCATTCAATTTGTTTTGACAGAATGGGTAGGAGTGAGGGGGAGTGGGTAGGGGTTAAGGGGGAGGGGTGGGGGATAAGGGGGAGGGGTAAGGAGGTAAGGGAGAGAAGGATAGACGTGAAGGGGAGTGGGAGGGGGGGGGAAAGAGAGGGTGAGGGCATATGAGAGAGGATGCGTGTTAGACATATTAAATTTTAGTACATATTGTCCTGTCTGTCAGACAGAAGAAGCTATCCTTGTCCACCTGATTTATTCCCCTCAGTATTTTGTAAGTTGTGATCATATCTCTGTTCCTTCTATCCTCTAGGGGATGTTAGAGCCAGTCCCACTAGCCTATGTTCGTAGCTTACCCTTCTTAGCTCTGGCACTCTTTTTCAGTGTGAGTAATTGTGTAAGCCAAATACCCATATTAATCCTGGTGTATATTTGAGTGTAGGTGTTGTCCCTTCCGTCTACAGGTACGTGTACGGGTCGGGGAGGACGTTGTACGTCCAGGAGGTGACGCAGACGGACGCCCACGCCTCCTTCATGTGTCGCATGAGGCATCGCGCCGCCCACACGCCCATCACCAGCCCGCCCACCTCTCTCACCGTGCTAGGTGAGGCCTCACAGTCTTCCAGCTTGTGCTCTAGTGGAACACCTGGTTGTCCTCTGCTGTGGTTCTGGTCTTGATGGTTCCCCCTGCTCCTCTACACTACTGAGAATACTCATTGTACTTCCTTTCACCTCTCCCCTCTTTCTAAGTTTCTTCCCTCTCACCTCTCCCCTCTTTCTAAGTTTCTTCCCTCTCACCTCTCCCCTCTTTCTAAGTTTCTTCCCTCTCACCTCTCCCCTCTTTCTAAGTTTCTTCCCTCTCACATCTCCCATCTTTCTAAGTTTCTAACTTCACTTTCCTTCCACATATGTCACAACTGTCTGTTCAGATGACACCATAACACGTGATGCTGTCCCACCATACCTTCCCTCATACCTCTCTCCCCATACTGTCTCTCACCCTCCTCGCCCCCTCCCCTCTCTCTTCCCTCACTCCTCCCCATGTCCCTCTCTCCTCTCACACCAACCCACTCTCCCAAGGTGGAACACGGTGTAAGGAAAGACATCTGGCTCATCAGTCATCACAAACCCGAGAATATTGTGACGAACACGTCTGCCTTGGACTTATAAAGACAGGTCATAAAGAAGAACAGCCATAGTGTGTTCTCTGTTATGTAACACTGCAATAACAACCAAACTTCGCCGCCATTTACAAACGAAACATAGAGAACACGTCAACAAACCTGTTGAATACTTCAACTAAAAAAGACAGCAAGATCTGGTTTTCCAAACACAAATCAATAGAAAAAGTAACGAATAATTGTAATTTTCATTATCAGACGCCACTGTGAAACGGCGGAGACATGTGTAATGGTGTTTATAAATGTCTAGTAGAAAGACAGCTTTAAGGTCAATATTATTGGTTTTAATTACATGAAAATACAGGTGTTTCTGATAGTCCTGATTTGTTTGGATGATGCCCCATGCCCCACCCAAGACTGGTGATGCCCCATGCCCCGCCCAAGACTGGTGATGCCCCATGCCCCGCCCAAGACTGGTGATGCCCCATGCCCCGCCCAAGACTGGGGATACCCCATGCCCCGCCCAAGACTGGTGATGCCCCATGCCCCGCCCAAGACTGGGGATGCCCCATGCCCCGCCCAAGACTGGTGATGCCCCATGCCCCGCCCAAGACTGGTGATGCCCCATGCCCCGCCCAAGACTGGGGATGCCCCATGCCCCGCCCAAGACTGGTGATGCCCCATGCCCCGCCCAAAACTGGGGATGCCCCATGCCCCGCCTAAGACTGGTGATGCCCCATGCCCCGCCCAAGACTGGGGATGCCCCATGCCCCGCCCAAGACTGGTGATGCTCCATGCCCAGCCCAAGACTGGGGATGTTTCATGCCCAGCCCAAGACTGGTGATGCTCCATGCCCAGCCCAAGACTGGGGATGCCCCATGCCCCGCCCAAGACTGGTGATGCCCCATGCCCCGCCCAAGACTGGGGATGCCCCATGCCCAGCCCAAGACTGGTGATGCCCCATGCTCAGCCCAAGACTGGTTATGCCCCATGCCCAGCCCAAGACTGGTGATGCCCCATGCCCCGCCCAAGACTGGAGATGCCCCATGCCCCGCCCAAGACTGGGGATGCCCCATCCCCAGCCCAAGACTGGGGATGCCCCATGCCCCTATTGCCCAAGAGGCACGCTAACATTACCTGGGCGATACCCTCATTGCTCTCGTTTAAAATTTGAACTGACTCATCTACTTTTAATTTCAAGACTTTTAGTCGCAAAACTAAAATGCAATGGAACATTTTTGTGCTGAAATTTAACTTTGACAGTAAGAAATTATGACATTTGTAACAATTTCCGGTAATTAAACTAATGTGCCCAACATGTTATTCCTTGTTCAGTATTTATTATGGAAAGTATTTGTCTTACAACCGACACTTGACTTTTATTAGCTTCTATTAGGTACAGATGTGAAATGTAAGCTGATGATTTAATAGATAAGTCTTTTGTGAAAGAGAGAGATTAAATCGTAGCACATATAGAGGCGTCCCAAACAACGTTTTTTGACGTACCAAGACGTTTGGTTGTCTGCTGCAAGTTGGAAATGTCTGCTGCAAGTTGGAAATGTCTGCTGCAGTCGTGAGCCCTGTTGATCTGACGGGCCGCCCAGCCCCAAGCTGGGCCCAGACTGTAAGCCTCACACTCAGAGCTCAAGTGAATATTGGATAGATACGGTACCATTATCTTGGGTTATGTAACGGCGGATTAATTATTGGTAAACACCATCTCATCCCTTCATATCCTCCTTAATCCTTACCAGCCTCCCATCCTCACTCTCAGTCTGTTACACCTATCATCCTAGCCTCGACACCCCTCCCCCCCCCTGGTGAAATGTGACAGTTCTCCCAGCTCTGACGCTCCTCCCTGTTACATAGACAAAATCTCACGACTCCATTTCTCTTTTTTAACTGAATATCAATTTGGTGATCCGGACCACAATTTAGCGCGGTACTAACTATCCAATTAACGGTTCCCGTAATTATTGAAGACAGAAACGGCTGTGAGGTGAGACAGCTCAATACGCGAGAGAAACTGACGGCATTTATGGTGGCCGGGGCTCAGACCCGGGGCTCAGACCCGGGGCTCACAGCCCCATAACCTGGTTTTAAACAGCCATCTTGGGAGAGGTATTATTGGAAATTCCCTAAAGATTCTCGTATAAGTCTTAGTAGTTGATATTCGAGTTAGGAAGGTAAGAGAAGTCGTTACCAATTACTTACGACGAATGAGTTCCTCTCTAGTTAATGAACAAGCAGTGACGTCACAAAATAGATTGTGACGTCACAAAATGACGTAATGACGTCATTTTGAAGGGGGTGTATATACGTTGATGTAATTGATTTTCAGCCGCGACGGGAGACCTCTTACCTGTAGGGGGGACCTATTACTCGCTGGCGAAAGTGACGTACTATCCCGTTTTCTGTTTTGGGTCCTCTGGTAGGTTAGGACACTTTAAAGTAACCGCTTTCATGAGGGTGGGGGACCTTAGGAGGACGGGCTGGACCCTCACCACCTGGTGCTTGAGGTACTGCTAGGTAGGAGGTCAGGTGCGCTCTCTAGCGCCAGTCATGCGCACCCGCGCACGCACTACGTCAACCATCTTGTCACTCATTGAGTGATTTGATGTCTCCCAAGCAACTATTGCCTTGGACAAGTGACATCATGCACTTACGGAAGCGACGTCAGAGTACCAATGAGTGCCATCTATTATTTTATTGGAAATATTCATACTGATACGAATTAAATAATACTCATAACTATTTACATTAACAACATATTAAAGTAAGATTTAAGAGATACGTATGATGGAAAGTGTTGAGTAGGCAGAACAATAGCATGCACACAACATGATAATATTATCTTCTGGGCCTTATACAAGCACATCCCAATCAGTTCTGCTCTTGACCCAGAATGGATTGGACCCAGAGTTCTGCTCAGTCGTGGCCCCAGAAGGAGGAAGACACAGAGACCTTGTATCACGACACACACCAGGAGCCAGTCATCATTCTCTCCTGCTCTATGAGTATAAGATCGAACTGAAAATTATGACCATAAGACAAGGGTCAGGAAAAAGAGATAGTATGTAGAAAAAGAGTTTATCTGAGGGTATCTGGAAACAGGTCGATGAGAAGAATATATAAAGGAAAGATAATCCAGGAAATGATCGACCAAGTCAAATGAAAGGTGAAGGGACGACGACGTTTCGGTCCGTCCTAGACCATTCTCAAGTCGATTCAGAATGGTCCTGGACGGACCGAAACCTGTCGTCCCTTCACTTTCTAGTGTGTGGTCTGGTCAACATATTTCAGCCACGTTATTGTGACTCCTCGTCTGCAAGTCAAATGGAAATACAAAGAGACAGAACAGAGTTCCATTCTAACAATACGATCAAAAAGTAGAGAGAAGTTACGCCATGGTTTAATAGACAGTTTTCATGCAGCGTGAGTTTAGACTTAATTATTTGTAATAAGACCTTCAAACTATCTTACAACAAATGATAAAATATCTGAAATGCTTCCAGTAGATACATGACATGAGATTAATGAACAATCAGTGTAGTGAAGACTAATAATAATAACCTGCAGCTTGTCTGTGACCATGCAACACCCGCATAACTAAAATAGTTATGTATTAGCGAATGGACTTATCATGAATGTATAATTATTAATTGTTAATACACAGATATTGAAATTAAAAATATCGCTGTAACGAGCTGACATTGTGATTATAAGGTGTGTAGAATTGTTGTATTTGCTAAAGTAATTATTCTACGTTGACGTCTGATAAACACCTTTTGTGCTCTCTAATCCTTTTTGCGCTACCGCTCACAGGATAAGTATTGGGTGCGCAATTAACTAACCGCCTTTTAACAATAAAAAATTGGTTAGAAAGTATGAAAATGATATTGATTTTAAAGTAGAGAAACAACAAACAACTGCATAGTCACATATGACGGAGCTAACACACATACACAAGTACATAATTTGGTGTATTATTAGGCCGGATTAAGTCGGAAATGTGCACATTTAGGTAAGGTTAGATTAGGGGAGGGGCGAGTTTCTTTAGCTAACATAGCATAACTTTGCCATAACTACGCTAAGGTAAGCTTACCTGGCCTAGTTAATCTCACCTTACATATCCAAATATTACCACACACCTGCCTCCCACCCAGCCCACACACCTGCCTTCCACCCAGCCCACACACCTGCCTTCCACCCAGCCCACACACCTGCCTTCCACCCAGCCCACACACCTGCCTTCCACCCAGCCCACACACCTGCCTTCCACCCAGCCCACACACCTGCCTTCCACCCAGCCCACACACCTGCCTTCCACCCAGCCCACACACCTGCCTTCCACCCAGCCCACACACCTGCCTTCCACCCAGCCCACACACCTGCCTTCCACCCAGCCCACACACCTGCCTTCCACCCAGCCCACACACCTGCCTTCCACCCAGCCCACACACCTGCCGTCCACCCAGCCCACACACCTGCCGTCCACCCAGCCCACACACCTGCCGTCCACCCAGCCCACACACCTGCCGTCCACCCAGCCCACACACCTGCCGTCCACCCAGCCCACACACCTGCCGTCCACCCAGCCCACACACCTGCCGTCCACCCAGCCCACACACCTGCCGTCCACCCAGCCCACACACCTGCCGTCCACCCAGCCCACACACCTGCCGTCCACCCAGCCCACACACCTGCCGTCCACCCAGCCCACACACCTGCCGTCCACCCAGCCCACACACCTGCCGTCCACCCAGCCCACACACCTGCCGTCCACCCAGCCCACACACCTGCCGTCCACCCAGCCCACACACCTGCCGTCCACCCAGCCCACACACCTGCCGTCCACCCAGCCCACACACCTGCCGTCCACCCAGCCCACACACCTGCCGTCCACCCAGCCCACACACCTGCCGTCCACCCAGCCCACACACCTGCCGTCCACCCAGCCCACACACCTGCCGTCCACCCAGCCCACACACCTGCCGTCCACCCAGCCCACACACCTGCCGTCCACCCAGCCCACACACCTGCCGTCCACCCAGCCCACACACCTGCCGTCCACCCAGCCCACACACCTGGAGATATAGGCAGTGTTAACCTTACTCTCCGTCCTGAACTATTCTCTAATCTCACCTAACAAAACAGTCAAATGTATTTCAAGAACATTAAACAGAGATTAGAGTTTGTATTCAAAACATTAAGACTCCATAACCACTGTAGTTAACTATAGACTGTATTATATATTCGGTTTAATTTAGTAAATACTCCCTAACATTATTTAAAACAGTTTCAGACCTTCAAGATTCACACACTACACGAAGCTGTGAGGTAGAATTTAGCCAGATTAACACTGTATTGTCCATTAAAGGGTTGTGTATCTTTAGGTCAGTGTTAAGGGAGACGTGAATGAGTAATGACTTACGGCCGTTTGATTCCCAGCTGCGCCCCTGACGGACACCTCTCCCAGGATGGACCCCGAGATGAACAGGATGGTGCAGGTGGTGGAGGGCCAGCCCTTCACCATCCCCTGCCTGGCCCACGGTCACCCTCCCCCACACTACAGGTATGTCTGGCCCCCTGGCCCAGTATGTCTGGCCCCCCCCTGGCCCACGGTCACCCTCCCCCACACTACAGGTATGTCTGGCCCCCTGGCCCAGTATGTCTGGCCCCCCCCTGGCCCACGGTCATCCTCCCCCACACTACAGGTATGTCTGGCCCCCTGGCCCAGTATGTCTGGCCCCCCCTGGCCCACGGTCACCCTCCTCCACACTACAGGTATGTCTGGCCCCCCCTGGCCCACGGTCACCCTCCTCCACACTACAGGTATGTCTGGCCCCCCCTGGCCCACGGTCACCCTCCCCCACACTACAGGTATGTCTGGCCCCCCCTGGCCCACGGTCACCCTCCCCCACACTACAGGTATGTCTGGCCCCCTGGCCCACGGTCACCCTCCTCCACACTACAGGTATGTCTGGCCTCCTGGCCCACGGTCACCCTCCCCCACACTACAGGTATGTCTAGCCCCCTGGCCCACGGTCACCCTCCCCCACACTACAGGTATGTCTGGCCCCCCCTGGCCCACGGTCACCCTCCCCCACACTACAGGTATGTCTGGCCCCCTGGCCCACGGTCACCCTCCTCCACACTACAGGTATGTCTGGCCTCCTGGCCCACGGTCACCCTCCCCCACACTACAGGTATGTCTGGCCCCCTGGCCCACGGTCACCCTCCCCCACACTACAGGTATGTCTGGCCCCCTGGCCCACGGTCACCCTCCCCCACACTACAGGTATGTCTGGCCCCCTGGCCCACGGTCACCCTCCTCCACACTACAGGTATGTCTGGCCTCCTGGCCCACGGTCACCCTCCCCCACACTACAGGTATGTCTGGCCCCCTGGCCCACGGTCACCCTCCCCCACACTACAGGTATGTCTGGCCTCCTGGCCCACGGTCACCCTCCCCCACACTACAGGTATGTCTGGCCCCCCCTGGCCCACGGTCACCCTCCTCCACACTACAGGTATGTCTGGCCTCCTGGCCCACGGTCACCCTCCCCCACACTACAGGTATGTCTGGCCTCCTGGCCCACGGTCACCCTCCCCCACACTACAGGTATGTCTGGCCTCCTGGCCCACGGTCACCCTCCCCCACACTACAGGTATGTCTGGCCCCCTGGCCCAGTATGTCTGGCCTTCTGGCCCACGGTCACCCTCCCCCACACTACAGGTATGTCTGGCCCCCTGGCCCAGTATGTCTGGCCTCCTGGCCCACGGTCACCCTCCCCCACACTACAGGTATGTCTGGCCTCCTGGCCCACGGTCACCCTCCCCCACACTACAGGCATGTCTGGCCTCCTGGCCCACGGTCACCCTCCCCCACACTACAGGTATGTCTGGCCTCCTGGCCCACGGTCACCCTCCCCCACACTACAGGTATGTCTGGCCCCCTGGCCCAGTATGTCTGGCCTTCTGGCCCACGGTCATCCTCCCCCACACTACAGGTATGTCTGGCCTCCTGGCCCACGGTCACCCTCCCCCACACTACAGGTATGTCTGGCCTCCTGGCCCACGGTCACCCTCCCCCACACTACAGGTATGTCTGGCCTCCTGGCCCACGGTCACCCTCCCCCACACTACAGGTATGTCTGGCCTCCTGGCCCACGGTCACCCTCCCCCACACTACAGGTATGTCTGGCCCCCTGGCCCAGTATGTCTGGCCTCCTGGTCTACACACTGTATCTGGCCTGCTCCACCTCCCTCGTTCAAATCAATCATCATTCATCTTGAAATCAATCAGTTCATTCTTCTTCTGCCTGTGGCGCACGCTCGCGCCTTCACCAATCAGGAGCCTGGTTCAGGAACCATTCTCTCACCAGTTTGCATTCAACATAAGCGCTTCTCTTCCTCAGCCGCCGGATCATTCTCTCAAGTAATCTCCTTCAGCGTAAATCCGCAGATGGTTTAATTATCCGCATCTTTCACAGCGTGAGGCATGGCATTGTGGCGCTGCCTCTCCCACCACCAGCTGGTTCAGTCGTTATATCTCTCCCAGTCACTCGTAATCACCGTTCCATAAGCCAGCAGTCTTACGCCAGGGGGAGCTACTCCATTCCCAGCACACCAGCACATTCACCATTCTTGACTTCCAGCACTCTAATTCAATTAACCATTCCGCGTCTGAGCAGTATATATACCCAGTCCCCCCGGGCGTATATGTGAGCTGGAGGAGACGAATATCTGTTATCTCGTCACGTCACGCTGAAGAAGATAGCGGATCTATAACATGTGTCACCAACAATACAAACACAAAAACTATCCCTGTTATCCGCTTGTTACAACTTGTAATAAAGCTGTTACATCTTGTTATAACGTTTTTATGACGTATTAGAACGTTGTTACAACTTGCTTTGTTGTTAAAGGAGGTGTTAAGACTTGTGAAACGTTGTAGGAACGTTGTATTTCCGTCGTGTATTTGGCGGGAAGAGCCGCCACGGGTCTTAACACCCGGCAAATATTTACCGTTCACACGAGGGGGGAAAATGAATGTGATTTGCAAGACCTTGGCTTCCGGGTCGTCTTTTGGAGTTGAGATATAATTGATTGGGTGAGCCCGGGGAATGGTGGAGGTGGCTTCGGGGAGGATAGATCGTCCTACCTGTCCGGACAAGGCTATCTTCTGGGGGTTAGATTTCCATTAGTTGGAGACAAGAGGATCTGCAGCTATCCCACTTCTCTCTCTCTCTCTCTCTCTCTCTCTCTCTCTCTCTCTCTCTCTCTCTCTCTCTCTCTCTCTCTCTCTCTCTCTCTCTCTCTCTCTCTCTCTCTCTCTCTCTCTCTCCTCTCTTTGATATATACAGTATATATATATATATATATATATATATATATATATATATATATATATATATATATATATATATATATATATATATATATATATATATATATATATACCTTAATATCTCAATATATCGTATATCATCATAACTAAGGAATCAGTTTTAATTGTTCCATTACCTAAACAATTTAGATTACAAAGATTACATATAAGGGCGTTGACCAAGTGCATTATGAATGCTTTGAAGTGAGGTGATGTAGACAAAATATGAGACTCCCGGGATGTCATTATAGTAGAGTACGCAGTGCTGAACGGTGACGCAACAAAGTACCTATAAAGGTATCAGGGATCGATCCTTGGTCATGTTCACGTTATGTTCATCAACGTGTACACTTCACGTGGCACTTAGCGTCGCCACGTGTGTGACCTGGTAGAGACCACGTGTGGTCGAGGTAGAGAGAATTGGGGGGAGGGAGGGAGGTACAGAGAACGGGAGGGAGAAAAAATGGGGAAGAGAGAGAGAGAGAGAGAGAGAGAGAGAGAGAGAACAGGATGGAGAGACAATGGAAGAGAGAATGGGAGAGAGAATGAGAAGGAAAGAGAAATGAGAGGGAAAGAGGAAGATAGAAACAAACAAACCCAAACAAATACAATAAGCCAGTCATAGCCGAATGCCCAATCCATATAGTTATAAATGAGAATGTTTATCTGTCTAAGACTGGAAACCAGATGTTTACGGCTAGTCTCGTGCAAGTGTACATGGCCAGTGGTGATTTGTATGAAATCTCACATAAGGTGGTCATGTTAACAGCCCTTAAGCCCTCCCTGAAGGGGGAACCACCCTTCACATCCCCTGCACCGAGTCGGTAGATATGAAATGTGCAATCAAATATCCGTAGAGTTTAGCATGTGTATAAATATTATTGAATGCTGATATTGACATGCAAAACGAATGTTCAGATGATAGATTTATGCTGTGGACACAAGCTAAGGGGGCTTGTGACAGTGTTAACATGTTAACCATGTTGTGACGGTGTTAACTGTGATGACCTGTGTGTTGTGAGGTGGTTACAGTGATGAGGCGAGACAGGGAAGGCGCGTGCGTGTCACCACAATATAGTCAAACACAGCACAATTACAACACTACCGAGACAGAGAGCCTCACAGACCACAATATCCAAAAGCAACACCAATTCGACGTCACCAACGCTGAATTAACGTTGATGACATTGAATCAACGTCGAAGCGACGTTACTCTTGCATACAGCAACCACTGGAGCCCGTTATCGGTTCTCAGGTTATCCACATGTGAAATTTTGTGTGTCGGATCGAGTCATTATCAGCTTATTGGCTACATGACTCCAGCGAGCGAGTGTCGGACACACCGGGGCTCCAGGGACTATGGTGAGCCAGGGAGATAGTCCGCCAAGTGCTATGTGCAGCCAGCTTGCCCTAATGGTAGGCGGGATTAAAATTGACAAGTTGGGCCGAGGAATGAATTGGACTGGAAGTGTTATTTTAACGAGGGAGAGGTAAACACTTGATATCTGGCAGTGACCCGGGCAAGGTGGGCTTTTTGGCTGATAGGAGTCAGTCGGCTATTGGCTGGTGAGAGTGATGGGGTGTCGCTATTGGCTGGTGAGAGTGATTAGGTGGCGTTATTGGCTGGTGACAGTGATGGGGTGTCGCTATTGGCTGGTGAGGGGAAGTGAGAGGGAAGGAAAAGAGAGAGTAAGGAACGAGGCAGAAACATAGTGAGGGAGAGCCAATCAGACCAGGAGACAAGACAGTGAGGCAGAGGGACGAACGCCCTGAGTGCCTCACCACACAACACACTCACTACACCAGACGTGTTTACATCAAGAGGAGTCCGTTGGGTGAGATCGCGCCTCGATATTGACCAAAAGGATCAGATCCGCTGCATGTTCCCGCCCCCTGCACCCTCACCACTCTAAACCCCACTGATGGAGGGGCTGGATCCTCTATCAAAGGCAGGGAGTGGGGGGAAGCGAATCCTGCCTCACCGCTTCAAGTCCCATTCTCTATGGCAAGAGAATTGATTTCAAAGGTTCCTGAAAATTGGAATGGATAGTTGGATTTCTGTTGATTGTTGTCGTTGTGGGGGATAGTTGTATATAGGAACGAGTGAGTGGGTTATTCCTAGAGAGGGAGAGAGGGAGAGAGAGAGAGAGACAGAGAGACAGAGAGTATATATAGTATAGTGA